TGAAAAAAATAAAACATTTTGAAATGTTTTAAACTGACTAAACATTCTGAAATATAAGGAAACTGGTAATAAAAGCAGCATTTAAGCAGCACAAAGTAATTTCTATTCTTCTAATGTGGTAAAACAGTGATAAATGAAATTGCTGGTGGGAATAAGAATTTCTACATATCAAACATTGGCACTGTCAACATCGTATTTGTAATAACAGAGAAATTACATGAGCAGATATTGTAGTAGAAGCCATACTTGTTTTATACTATAGGAGTCTTTCTTTCTTAATGCCTTGTTGCTTTATTGAATGCTTTGCTGAATTTAGAAAGATTCTGCTACTACAATTTGGCTGTGTTGGGCAGTCTTTAAATCGTGCTGCCTCAACTAATTTAAAGACAAAATTTAAGAAAGTTGACTAACCAAACCTGAACTCCTGAATTCTTAAGTTAATAGTTCACTATTAATACGTGATCCCATTATTAAAAATACTGAGTATGTATGAATTTCCACAGAGTTCAAAGTAAATTACTGCACATTTAGAACTTTTGAAATCAAATGAGGCCCAATGACAAGCATGCAGATACATGTACAATAGCAAGTTATTCACAAGGTTTGTGCTGCCATTAAAATAGGCAGACATTTGCTGATATCTTGCCTCCCTACACTCTGCCTTGACTGTACGTTTTGCTCAGACTAACAAAACACATTTATGAAGATGGACTGTAAACTTAAAATCTAGCCACAAGAGGGCATAAGTGACACTGCATTTTCATTTTAAATACAGATTATCTGTCTATAAATTTAAGTCTGATTTAATCTAAAAAGCAAATAACTTAAAATGCAGCTGATGCATAGCCTGCTTTTTCTAGTGCAGAATATATGATTTACTATGGTCTTAATTTCCTTACTTTAGCATTATTCATATAAATTGCATCCCAACATGTTTTGGAGCATTACTGAGATTGATACAATACAATTCTAAATATAAAGAATGATTGGGAACTCTACCAGTGAAATATACATATGCATTTTCATCTAATATATAAAACATAAATTGGTGATACATAGATACAGGCCTGCCCTAGAATCTAGTAATTGCAAACAGGTAGTTATTGCCTGAGAAGCGATAAAATTGCATAGACTGATAAAATAAAAATCACTCTTAGAAGAGAGAAGAAGGATTAGAGGAAAATAAGATACAATATCTAAGTTGCCGCAAGGTTACAGGCTACTTTTTCTTTTTAAAGGTCACCCAATAAGGTGGCGAGTTTGAAACACATACTTATATATACAATTTAAAAATGGCAAATTCCCAAACCTGATGTGATAACAATACACGGGTAATGCTGGAAACAGGTAATGCCAGAAGCTGATCATCGACCCATACCTGCCTATGTTGTAGCTGTTGATCCATGCTAACATAACAGTTTGCAAGTATCAAAAACAGGGAAGTCTGACCTATTCCAACTTTTCTGATGAAACACATTTTCACCAGCCTAGTAAATTCAGTCAATATAGTGCAGGATCAAATGAGCACTAGAGCCAATGTAATGCAACATGACTAGGAGGCGCTTGTGACTGGGCACAGTCACCCAACAGCTGAAATTAGATTAAGAACCAAGACAACTGTGGGTTTTTTGTTTGTTTGTTTGTTTTTAATCACAATTCTACATAATAGTAGATAAGCAGAAACACTGCAAGATTAAGTATATAAAACTAAACTTTAGTCTGTGTGGTGGCTTCCTCTGACATGCTCTCACTCACTAGCATTACTCAGGCTGCCTGTGCCTAAGCGCACAACATAGCATGTTAAATATATTATCAAGCTAGCCAAGACAGCTGCATACCAGGAACAACAAGAGAAAAGCATAACCACCATTTAAACCCATGTTGGTCAAAGAATTTTTAAATGTCTTGTTAGAGCTTCTCCTTCTAACAAATTGCTAGTACCTTTAATTTGGGAAGAGCAAACTATGGCAAGACAGAGCAAACACTGCAATTTTCTTAGTACAGTCTTTGCCCCTCAGCAATATGTGCAACACCACTGGCACCTTATACATGAATCATCCAACCAGTAACATTTACTAATTAGGAGCTGGATATTAGGCCTCATGCCATTATTATTCTGCTATTATTCTGGTCCTTCTCTTAAATTGCTTTGTCAGACTTCCGTCACTTGAGACAAGTTCCATTATGAGAGACATTAGGTGCATTTAGGTATTTGCCAGATAATAGAGAAGGTTCTTAGGAAACAATCTGGACAGATTAGACTAATCTGTTACTGCTGGAAACCTCGGTTCCAGCAGCAGAGTAGACAATAGTTTCAAATTACCAGCACTAAGATTAAGCCACAGGCAATATGTGTTTTCAGGTGAAAAGAAAAACAAAATAGAACTCATGCAATACTGTCCTTACCTCAGGTGAGGTAGATGTCTGAATTCAGCTTCTCATTTCTCCAAACTAATGTGGGTTGCTCCATGATTTTTTTTTTTTATTATTATTTTGGTGAGTGGTCCTGTAAGTATTTTTGTATGCAGAGATACAATAGAAATACAGGCAGCAGTATGTAACATTACTTCGGAAATCCAATGCTCTAAGTATGAATAATTAGCATTTGAACATTGGTTAAAACTTTGATATTGTCTGATATTTTCACACTAAAATATATTTTGTTAGAAGTAGGGTTAAATAACTTGACATTTTATGGTTACTGTAATAAAGGTAATAAAACCGTGAAGTTACTGATGGAAAAAGGCAAATAGCATTAATGAAGCTTCATAAACTAACACATTTATTGAAGTGCCCTGCAGAGAGAAGGAAAAAATATATATATTGTTTTCTCTTTATATGCTCAACACTTCTTCCCTGAAATAAACTAAGAACTGAAGTGTGATCATCTCTTCCGTTGTTTTTTTTGCTAATATGAGTTTAGATGATTCCTCCTCCCCCAATCAAACCCTTTCCTCCCCAAGCTTAATTAGTTTTACCTTTTATTCTATAGGACAGCAGATACTATGAACACAAGCAACTGAGAAAGAAACAGCAATTCTTCTGTTCACGACATAATGGGATGAAGTATCTGGTAAAACCTTAAACTTCATTTCCAAATAAATAGCAGTCAGTTAGCCAAGATGCACTAAATCATCTGTTATTATAAGTGAGGCATAAAATACAAGCATTCTACTTTTGAAAACTTTTTAACTGAAAGAGAGCATATTTTAGAAGAGGTGTAAGATTTAAGAACTGTCTGGAAGTAGTACAAATAGGCATTAAAATTGAAAAGCCTATCTCTAGAGACTAAACTACATTCAGAACAGGATTCCAGAAGAAAAAAAAAAAAATCATTGAACAAGTACTAGTTAAGAACACTTTAAGTTTGTACTATGGAATTCTTTCAGAACACTGGAAGAATTTATACAATTAGTTTTTCACGATTTACAACCAACCTATTTTATTAATGACTTGCATGTCCTCTTTAATATAACTCCATAGAAACTGAGTGTCAGAGAATGAAAGTGAATCAGCTGTATGTACACGGGAGAGGTGTGCTCTGAACCTTCCTCCAGCAAGTATCTTCAGTCTTTTATACAAAGCAAAGCTTTTTTCCAAAGGAAATATGGCAACCAGCAGCAAAACACCAAAAAGCTCAGTGGCTAGACATTTCTTCAAGGCAGTACAGTCCACCTAAGATCAGTACTCAGAATTATAGATAAAAAGGATGCAATCATGGCATAAGCACTCATGTAATTTCAGTTCCCTACTTTCCAGAATACTGCCTTGAGATCTTGAGGGTTTTTTTTCAGTCTTTTATGACTAAAAAAAAAGAATTTCTTGGCATAAAATAAAATTATTCATTTGAATATCTTAACTATTATAAATGTAGTTTTGGTTCAAAACAAATTTTAACTTTCAGGCAAATCCATTGGGAAAATCCAGCCAGCAGAGTCTTCTGTTTAAGCTGTTAATTTTAGGATTTCCTGGTTGCTATGGATTGAAACACCAGCTAAAGATTAGTTCTTCTACTGAACAAAACTTGACAATACCAGTTTCTGTGCATCTGCAACCATTCACGACACATCTCAAGTAACATGGGCTGAGTTCTCATTGAAGGAGATGAGCACTTCAAGCAAGGAACAAAGAGCAGTGTAAAGCCATACTTGCATAGGTACTCGTTTTACTGTATCAGAGCCAGAAGATTGTTGCTTCATGTAAGGCATGTTGACCTCAGGCTGACTATTGAATATTAGGATACTTTCATACACACTTCAATAAAAATATTCAAACATCATATAACTAATGGAAGTGACGTGGATATCTGGTCTCATTCCAACTCATTTGATCCTGTCTCATTATAAAGTAGTTCTCATTTTCTCTCCTTAAAAGATATTGAGGGCAACTTCCATAACAGAAACATTACCAAGAGATACCTAAATTGCAATATTAAATAGGCAAATATCACCCTAAGTATAAATGACTTAAAATGTGAGGTAAGAAAAGATTACTTCTAATGCTCTTAACTAAGCAATTGCTGAAACTGAAAATGATCACTTAAATATTAGTCCTTCCCCTTGAGATGGGACAGTGTACATAAAGAACAATTTTAAGGAAATGAAAGCACACATTTTATATACTATTTACATGCCAATGTAATGAACAATCTCTTGTATATCATGTATTCTAGACTTTAATCTTTTTTAAAAAGTATGAAGTTATGCTGTTTTGAATTAAGGTGTAGTAATACATAGCAGCTGAAAATATTGTACATTGAGTAGATTCTTCTTTAACTTCAAAAATACCTTTTCTGAAAATCTGTATTAAAATATATGGGAAAAGTTTACTTTCCCCACAAAAAGTAGATTATAATACTTGAAGTATCTACAAAATATCTGAATTAAAATCATGATATTCTTTCAAATGAAGGAATAAAATAATAAAATTAATATCATTATTAATACAAATTATGAAAAACTCATGTTCTTCATGTTCTGTTGTGGTAGCTTATGGCAAACCATTCTTCTTAGTCTAGCAGATTAGAGGTGAAAGTGTTTTTGACCATTAAAAATTTAGATTCTCGGTGTGATCTTTTCAGCTTTGCACGACGGTTCTGGAACCAGATCTGAAATTGAAATTTAAAAAGCATCCTTTTCAGAAATACTGCATTGCACACAGGATAAAAAAAAAATCAAAAAGACAAAAAAAAAAAAAAACACCACGTACTTCTAGAGTATTCTGTTAAATGCCAGAAGCTTGGAAGTTCAATACAAATTTAAAACCTGCAGATGATAGTATATAACTGCTTGCGATAATTTTAGTAACACCACAGACTAGAGAACAATATAGCTTTTCTCAGCTTTTCTGGAAAATCAGGACCAGCCTCACTGAAATTATCACAAGTATCAGTTTCAGTGACACCAAGTCAGGCGCTGGAATATTCGGAGTATCTAGAAATCAAAGTCAGCAGAAAGTTAAGGTGTTACTTCTTGAGGCACTGAATTAATTGTGGCATAAAGCTTAACAGCAACCCCAATCAGACTAGCATCAAAAGCTAAGTATCAAGGCCTGGTCCAAAATCTGATGAAATATATCATATGCTTATCACATTTGATTAGTTGGAAATGCGAAATTGAAAATCCTGAGTAGATAGTACTTCTCAAAGACGTGGGCTCAAACATTGTTTTAAAAAAGTTTAATGGCCTATGTTCAATGCTGAATGCTTTCATGTTCTATTGATAATCTCACCAAATACTTATACATTCATACAAATTACTTCAATATTGGTTGCAACTTTGTTTTTTAGACACAGTGAAAAGCATGATATAAACATGATTTTAAAATCTGGAAGCAAATGACCAAGTTCCTCATGTGATAATTTGATGTGGGAAAAAAAAAAAAAAAAAGAATCATCACTGTCATCAGTGAGGAATGTCAGATCAACTCTATGGAAGAAGACTTTTAACTTGGGAAGGAATTCAGTGGCTTTCATTTTACCTAACAACACATACGTGAATAAATTTTTATTATTTTAAATTGTGATTATTCATTAATAAGTATAGCTACTGTCCATCTATTTATATCACCAAAGAGTAAATACAAACAGAATTATAAAAATATCCAAAAACTTTATTACCTGAATCCTGTCTTCATCTAAATTTAACTTGCGAGCTAATTCTTCCCTAATGTCAATGCCAGGGTAGGAGTTCATCTTAAAAACATTTTCCAAAACGTCAATCTGAGGAGATTGAAACACACTTGTTGAATTTTTATTGCTATCTTTGCAGGAGGGAAGAAAAATAAATAAATAAATAAAACCACACTTTAGTTTTTTCAATAGGAGACCTCTATCTGCTTGGACTATTCTAATCGTGCATTTCTACATTTCTTTATGCAGATTTAAATAGCACTTAATTTAGCCTGAAAGCTAGCTCTTGCAGGCTTCAGCCATCAATTATACTGATTTATTTAAAAGCCAACCAAATCCCTACCTGGTTTCTAGTGAAAGCAGTTCTTGGTCTTCTACTCCTGTACCAGCTCAATTCTCGTTTGAAAGACAGCCTTTCACTCACTGAAAAATACTTTTCACACTTCAAAACTTTCTCCTCTTGCATTGCAGTACTGTTAACATGGAATAATGAGTTTTCACAGGAAATAACAGGGATTTGCATATGAGGATTGCTGTCTTCATGTAAAACTAGGAAAAAAAAACCACAATTGCTGGTTTTGATTAGAAATACAACTATATATACATTTGTAAAGGAGTAAAAGCTTAAGATGTTAGAAAACTGACTGCTTACTTACTCAGGTTGGTGCATGTATCCATCCACGGTCTGTGAGGCTTCATAGCTGAAATGACATCTTTTTTCTGTTCCAATCCCAAAATACTTTCAATGGAAAATGAACACTGTGCAGCTTTCTTTTCCACAAAACCAGACACTTTTTGAAGATTCTGAGATACTGATGTATTAGCAGGACACAAGGATGTACTTGCCATGCTTTCACCTTCAGCCAGCATACCACCTACACTGTACTTGCATTTCTCTGCAAGTCCTCCTTATAACTATGTTGACAAGGGGGCTGGATTTGAAACGTCACTAATTAAAATCTTTTATTAGAAAGTTTTAGCATGTCAATGAAAACTCTCCCACCAAGAGGCACGAGGAGTTAATTGTTTATTTGTTTGCAAGTAATTAGCAACTAATGGTGACACTAGGGGGGCCACCAAGAGGGACAAAAAGTGTTATCTCTCCTAACCAGAACATCGACTTAACTCTCTCAATAGAAGCTATGCAGAAATATAGTACTTGTCTTTTATTTGAAATCATTAATGTATAAAATCAGTTTTTTAAAAAAACTTCATACTCTAATGGTCTCCACTTACCTAAACATAGCAGCATGATAGGAAACCAGTCAAGTAATAAGTAATCTCATTTAAGTGAATTTCCTTCCAAGGAAATTTAAAAAATAATCTCTTAATGCTATTAGGATAATCCCAATGAAAATGCCTCTGTTTTTTCATATGCATATGTAATGGTGAACGTGGTCAATAAAACAACAATAGCTTTTGGCACAAGGCGCAGTGCAGTAGGTTGGCAATGCTGTCAAAGCTCAGTGTAATTGCCTTCCAAGTGCATGGATTAATTAACAGGAACAGTTGCACCAACTATTTTCAATTCATGCATTCATTTTTCCTCTTAAAATATCTTTGCTGCAGCTTTTCAAAGGAAATATGTGTGAAGTTTCCTTAATATTTTTCATAAGATACACGCAAAAATTGAAGTAAAACAGTACACTGCAATTTACTGATTTCAAAAAACTTCAGGTTCTTTTATTGCTACAGGTTCCTTATCATTTCTCATACGTGGGTTTAAAACTAATAGAAATTTATTTAAACCCTATAGAGAAAGCACTTTAAATGATCCAAAAGTAACAAGAGGAGAAATAAGATAAAAGGTAAATTTTTAAGTTCAGAGTCTGAACCCAACACCCCAATTTTGTTTGCGAAAGAAAGTACCGGCTATAACATTCTTATACTCAGGTTTACCAATCAGTAATAAAGCAAGGCACACATGATCAAAACTGGTTTTGGATTTAGAACAATCTTTACAGAGCTCTCCTTTTCTTAATTTTATTTGAAATGACAGCAGAATATTTCAGTTTCAGAGTTCAATTCTGAATTTCAAATTCTGAATTTTGTACCTCTCATAAATCTTGGAATCTGCAGCGTGTTAAGTAGGATGCACTTTGACAGGGAAAAATCAGGCCTTCCTAACATTCTGTTGCTTTGACGCTTTCTCGAAGTATTTTTTGTGTGTAATGTATCGCATTAATATGGTATCTATTTGCTGAATATTTAGCACTTGCCAACTCCACTTTGAATTCTTCTACATTCATAAAGAGGTATGGAATATAGAATAGAAGCCACAGGGCTGGGCAAGATTCTCCTGAGAATATGCTCATATATAACTTTATAGGGAAGAACACTTAGCTGGAGAACACTGGCTTAGTTGGACCGACATCGTGTTGTGCAATGAAACTGTTGCTGAACTCTCACAGAAAGAATAACAATTTAAGAAAGGAGCTTACCAAAGGCACCTTATTAGTACCCATCAATGGTTCTTGAAGGGACATCAGAATAACTCACCAATGACCATCTGGAAATTAAATTACAACTAGCATTAGGTAGACCAAGCAATAACAAACTGCAGACATGAAAAAATGATAAAGATCAATGTATGAAACTGACTGTTGCTCACTGGCCAATGAAATCTAGTCTGATGATATTAACTTTGACACATAGACACCCATAAATACTGCAGAGATATCTGTAAGACTGCATGTATTTGATGGAAACAGTCCAGAGCTCTGCTTGATCAGAAAGCATTCAAAATGTCCTAGCTCACAAAGTTGCTAATTGCTGCCTTAGAAGTCCAAATCAATTTATGTTTAGTAAAAGATCTGTAGCAGAAAGCCAAGAGTGAAAATTGCAAGAATGCACAGATAATGCTTCATGTGTGTCCTCTGTAACTATGCCAATGGTATTCTATGAACTCATATCCAAACGAAGTCCCACTTGTGGCAAAAGCAGTTTGTGGATCATAGGTTTCAGAGGGTAGTTTTGCATCTGAGGAAATGCATACCTTGACAAAATCTGTCAGATTTTCCTCAACATGTGAACCTTCCTTTCCTCAGGAAATCCACTGTTTCCAGAAATCTGCAGAGTAGCTGACATAATTTTCCCAGCTGGAAAACCCAGAAGTGTCCAGATCAAAATTTGAAGGGAACTTCCATTATTCACAGGAGCCCTCAGCACATATTTCAGTAGACTCAGGAAAAGCCTCTTCTGCCCAGGAAGTTCCATCATTCCATTCCTCATGGAATATGCGGTTAACTAAAGGCCAGCGGAGACCCATCGATCTCTTCTGTGATAAGTACTGCTAGGCAAGAACCTTACAGCTCTTCATGTTTCACTGCAGCTGTTAGCAACAAGGGAACCTATGATCTTAGTTAACCAACAGGATTCCTATTCTTGGCTGCAGTTATCTTGCATATAGAGATTGAACAACAGGCATTAAGATTACTAGAGAAAAAGGGCAAGGACTCCTGTACACACGTGATTATAGCAATCATTCCAGGCAAAACCTTCAGCAGGTAATAGACCAATTTTCTGCCTATACAGCTATACATGAAAGAGCAGTTTAAGGAAGAAAGCCACCTTCTGCCAAATCTCAACATATCAAGAAAGCAATGCATCATCTATTCTCAGCTTCAGCTGCTTACAAATTTCTCTGTTGAAAAGGCTTCCTATGAGCATGATCACTGATGAAAAGGCAATCTCTTGAAACCAGGAACTAACATGCATTTTAAAAATACAAAACTCTTAGCAATTTTAATACAGATGGTTTTCAAATACAGGCGGCTACTTGAAGAAAACCAACCAAACAAGCGTAAAAAAATATGAAAAATAAAAGCACACAAGCATTAATACAAAGGCTTTCAGAAAATATTTGTTATTTTAATGAATATGAATGAAATTAATCATGGCCACATGGTTAAGACCAGGATAACCACATGGATCAAGAGTGGTAACTCATAAATAACCTCTTCAACATGCTAACAAGAACTATCAGAAGAGTCATATGCAGTGTAAAGAGAAACATTTATCTACATTTAACCTCTCCAAAGCTAATCAGTTGACCAAATATTTACAATTTATTTTTGGATTTCCTGTCATCGTGGAGGATGAAGAAACACTTCAGTAGGCTGTCCTGATTCCAGCTCCCACTTGGAGACAATTATAATATTTTGTTGTTGTTGTTGTCATTTTTTCTTCCCACTCATCCCCACCCCGCTCCTTCCCCTGGCTTTTCAGGCCAAAACAGATATATAAATTGGTCCGGCATAGGTTGTAAAATAATCAAATAGTGCCATCTGGTGTTTATACTTACCCAGCTGCTGAGTTTGTTCAACAATGAACATTCAGATAACTGCGTAAGAAGCCATGCTACTACTAAAATATTCATTAATTTGCTTTACGTTGAATTGATTCACACTGAGACAACAATACAGCAACTGAAATATATCAACATTCTGGTTTTAAACGGAGTTCATGGCAGCATCTGTTCACAGGAACTGCAAGTACCAACTTAGAAGTTCACAAAAGAGATGTATGGGCACACCATGCTTTTTAACTTTCAATTAATTCAGAAATATGGGTTTCAATTTTACTGAGACCATTAGGTTAATCCAGCCCTACATAACCATTTATAAAATTTTCACAAGAGAAATTACTCTAAAGAGTAATTTCACATACACACACCTGTCACTCACAAAAATAAACAGTCAAACCTTCCTGTTAAAAACAAATACAATTACAGTTACAATGTTTTAGATATAAAAGTCACCATCTCATGCAGGCCATATGAATTTATCTGAAGAGTTTTAAATAAATATCTTTGAGCAAATAAATACTAGGGTAACACAAAAAACAACATTAGGATGAAAATCCTGAATAATAAGCAGCAGGAAAAACTACAACTCCTTTTAGAGCATGCCATGGTTGATGAGGTAGATAATTTGAATCTCCCTTTTCAACAATAGAGTCCATTTGTTGAGCAGTGGATGGAGCTCTTGCCTTTAGAGAAACAAAGCCTGTGAGAACTTCAATTGCACCAGCTGGAGTGACCACATGAAGAGTCCTTGATGGCTTCCATCTAAAATCTCACTGCTACTATCTATCACCAGTGTATTGCTACTGCCAAGTCACCTTTTCCAAAGTTGTGCAGTATCTTTGACTTTCTAGAAAAGGGATAACTGGTGTAACAGGGTATATGCAATCTTTCCTGATTACATATCACACAGAGGAATTGCCTTTCATTTTACCTTTCCCTCAGTTCATTTACCCAAGTGCTGCAGTATTTCACTACCACAGATATTCAACACACAACACCCTCCATGATAGATTATAAATATGGATACATAGATTATAGTCAAATCCAACTTCAAAACTAACTTTAAGGCAAGAATGCCGCTTCAAAACTTTTAACCATGATTTTCTTATTAAAATCCATGAATAAAAGCAGTTAGTTAATTCTTGGCCGAGGTAAAAGCTTTTTTGAATCCAAGAAGATTAAACAAACATTGAGAATTTTGAGGTCAGTCTAGGGATGGCACTAGCAAAAGTCTGAGAAGGTGTGTGTAAATGCAAATAAGGCTTACCTTATCCAAACAGCTGCTTTCACCCTCCAGCAGAGGCAAAATGTTCACTCCTTTAGGTTAGCCATCTGAAAACCTCTAAAGGGCTGTTGGCTGCTCTTCTCCCTGTTTGCACAATGTCAAGTGTCAGTTCATCACATTCTTAACATTTCCTAGCAATGGTTTATACAAGAAGGAGAAGGGAAAAAAAAAAAAAAAAAAAAAAACACCACAACCACAGATTAACAAAAATACATACCTCACTGAGAAAACTACTGAAGAGGGGGCTTGGAAGAGTTCTTTAACTCATTACCACCCAAACTCATCTACTTCCATCAGACTTGAACCTCAAATAAAACTTTTGATGCTTTCCGATATTTATAAAAATGTACATAAAAAATAAAAACAAGATTGGTAAGATATTACACAGCCTTTTTATGCAAAGGTTTTACT